CCAGCTGTAACAAAATATATACGTCAAAATCTCCAGCTGTAACAATATATATATGTCAAAATCTCCAGCTGTAACAATATATATATGTCAAAATCTCCAGCTGTAACAATATATATGTCAAAATTCTCTAGATGTAACAATATATGTCAAATTCACTAGCTGTAACAACACATGAATCAGAATCTCCAACTACAACACCACCAAAATCAAAATCTCCAGCTGTAACAATATATATGTCAAAATCTCCAGCTGTAACAATATATATGTCAAAATCTCTAGATGTAACAATATTTGTTAAAATCTCAAGCTGTAACAACACATCAATCAGAATCTCTAGCTATATTATATACCAGAACTTCTACCTACGTTACACAAGTCAAAACAGTAATAATTTATCAAGTCAAATTTCTAGTTACAATTACAAAATTTCACACACAAAATCCATACCTCTAATAACACAGACAATCTCTAACTAGCAATACAGATACAGAATTTCTATCCAGTTTAAAACACCAGCATAAAACCAATAATTACAACATTAAACAGTTAATACCTTAAGCTACAAATAATAGCAGCATTTCACCAGTTACAATAAGAAGAGATCAGACTTCGTGCCAGAAACAAAAAGTTCACATATACAACAGGGGCAGATCCAGCCCATAAAAAGTGGTCTGCCACATTGGCATGGTGATAAATTAGTACATTAATCATATAAGCTACAGTGTTTCAATTTACAATGTATTTATTGTATAAAATTGATGTAAATTGTCATATATATTAATACTTTAGTGTAAATGTCAAATTTACATCACTTTATAATATTGCACTATATTTCTCATTAAAAGCTAAAATACTCAATTTGCCATATATTACAAGAAACATAGTATAACTGTAGCAACCAATTTAAATCAACTAATGTGTAAATCAGTAAGCATAATCTGTAAACCACGAATCTAATAAATACTAAAACTAAATTTAAAAACAAAGATGCGAGTCAGATTGTAATTATTAATATCATTATATGCATCAAAAATAGTCTACAGCAAGGACACAGCCTGCAGTTAGAATAAATAGTATCTCAAACTCTTGTCAACTTCCTATTATGTTATTTGTACATCATACGAAGTAGATTATAAACTACCTAGTAAACTCGTTTTTCATTACCGACTATTTGGAACACATAATTTCGCTTTTTAAACCAAGTAACTGAACAAACGATAAACCTGACATTGTTTATTCCTTAAAATTTCCATAGTATTCCTACTGCTATAAATAAAGTTGCATGTTATGCTTTATAACATATTTTCCAAACACTTTTTAACTAAGTAAGACCAAGACAGACATAATACCTTTTCTTTATTGTGGCTATTGTTTTTTAAGTAATAATTTTACAGATTACAATAAATAAGCAACCTTGGCATTTCCTTTAAATTCATTGTGCTCTGTTAACAAGGCTTCTGTTTTCTCATTGGTTTCTCCAAGTGAATGATGGGTAGACAGATAGCTTTCCCCGGTTTCACGGATCCATTCTAGAGCCTGAAACCAAAATGAGCAGTTAATATATAAGATAAACTATATATAACACAATATCTTTACTCATACAATAGAAAGCAAAAGTTCCAAAATAATGCTGACATAGCACAGTATACAGAAAAAAATATGTATACTAATATTGTCATGCTTCTGTAAAATATGTAAAGTAGGGCCATGTTCACTTTTTCTAGAACTGCTAAGTAAGCTTGACAGCTAGTGAGAAAAACCCCTCTTTCTCTGAGAACCATGCCCAACTTACTTCCCCTCCTTCTTAACAATGGGTTTGCAGCATAGTTCCTTGTTTAAATAAAGGTCAGGTCAGTGTTATTGCAGAATTCCATAAACCAGCTAATGTATTAATAACATATTGTTCAGATATTCTTGTGACAGTACTAGACAGCTATTAATAACATCTTGTACAAATGCTCGTGTGACGGTACTAGACAGGTATTAGCTAAATACTTTACAGAAATACTTACCATAGTATTAAGCAGATATTAATAAATTGTTCTGAAAAGTATCTTGATGACCCTGATTTATTGCTGGAAGAGGATGTGACTGCTTTATCCGCTGAGAGATATCCATACAGGAAGACTTTTAAAAAATTTTGAGCCAAAGAACAAAAGAATTCAAAGAAAGGAGTCTTCATTTTATCCATAGAAGTGGAAAACTTGCACAGTAGCTTGTTAAAACCACACCTTCAGCCAATTAAGAATAACATCTTTATCCACAAGGAGAAAGGTTGTAGTTATGAGAAGGAGCTCTCTAACTCAAAAACCATTATGATAAAGATGGGTATATCTTGTGGTATCATTAATAAGGATTTGAATTTCTTAAAGACTCACAAACATGAGGTTCACAAACTCCTGACATGTTACAAAGGTAGGTCATCTGCATGATGCTGTAAAAAAAAAAAACAACAAAGAGCAAAATTTCCTGTCATATGTTAAAATCAATGACAGTATTTATGAAAAAAAAACAAGCTGAAGAAATTGGAAGCACAACCATCCTATTCAATCACATACTTGTCAAGTCCTCTGATGCAGCTCAAGTAGATTTTTTGTTCTTTTGGTTTGCATTTCAGATATTCTTGTGACAGTACTAGACAGCTATTAATAACATATTGTTCAGATATTCTTGTGACAGTGCTAGACAGCTATTAATAACATATTGTTCAGATATTCTTGTGACAGTACTAAACAACTATTAATAATATATTGTACAGATATTCTTGTGACAGTGCTAGACAGTTCAATATATTATTAATAGTTGTTTAGTACTGTCACACGGGCATCTGTACAATCTTATTAATACATGTCTAGTACTGTCACATGAGCATCTGTACAATCTTATTAATAACTGTCTAGCAATGTCACATGTGTATCTGTGGAAAATCTTATTAATAGCTGTATAGCACTGTCACACATGTATTTATATAAGATCTTATTAATAACTTTCCAACACTGTCACACGTGTTTGTGCAATATATTATTAATACCTGTCTAGCAATTTCACACATGTACCTGTACAACATCTTAACATCTGTCTGTCACTGTCACACGTGTACCCATACAATATCTTTATAGTAGCTGAAAAGAAATGGTCAGATGCATAATTTCAGAATGGTATCTCATTAGCACTGTCACATATGTATGTGTAAGACATTTATTATGACATGGTGGGTATTGAATCAGCAAGTGTATCAATAAAATACCTATAAATACCTGTCTAGCACTTCTTTCAAACAACACGTATTGCTGGCACTGATCTAATCGTTTCTTCCTAGTAGTCCAAAACTCAAGAACTCTATTCTCTTGCTTCATCACCTGATCCATTATTCCTGGAAATAAAATTATAGACACCTTTACTATTCAAGTCCATTTTTATGTTTCATTACCCCTGAAGTTAGAATCACCATAAACTGATGAAATACATTTTTATGCTATATTGGCCCTGAAATTGGAATTAGAATATTTACTACTGAATATTTTTTTCGTACTACAGTATTCCTAGAGATGAAATTAAAAAAAAATTTACTACTGGAGCTATTTTTCTACTACAGTATTCCTACAGACTGAATTACAAAGACATTTACTACTGAAATCTATTTTAGTTCTACATTATTCCTAGAGATAGAATTACAAAACATCACCTAATAATACCCATTCATAAGCATTGTGTTAATATGTTGTCTACTGTTACAACTATTTGTAATCAACTCTTTTACATTAGGTAGGCCAAAGTGCATATGTCACAACCTTTTACAGAGTTACAATCAAAATTTAATTAAACTACTTTATTATCGATGTATATGAATAAACTTAGCATCAAAACATAGCTAATAAACCAAATTTTAAAATAAGTTTTAAGTTCTTAATTTTATAACAATATATTTTTTAAAAATCCCCAATCTCCCCGAGTATGAAAATTGTGACATTTGCTACAAGGTCTTCTCTCTTTTCTAATCTATTTACCACTCCTCCAAGAAGTATATAATTTAAAGTAAATTACTCATCATAATCATAAAAGCCAAGTGTCAGTCAGTCGGTCACACTTGATGTCTCTGAACTTCATGGGTTACATGAGTCCAATTCCACTTTCGCTCCTATAATACTTCCTCTTTTCAATGCCTGTTCCCATTTTAGTTGAATTCAATAGGCATAAATAGCTCTTAAGTTTGGGCACTTTTTCTGCTATACAATATCTTATTAATAACTGTATAGCAATGTCACAGGAGGGAGTTTTTATACCAAGGATTTATTTAGCACCAAGTTAAATTAATTTGCCAGTTGCTATGAAGAGAAGTTTTAAACGATGATCGAGTATTTAAAAGAAATGTGGTTTTAAGAGAACTATTGCAATAATGCAATTGATGTGATTAGAAAATAACTGATCAATGAATGCTGGGAAGAGACACTCTTTAGGTAAAGGAGAAATTGCTCATGATAGACTTTGGTTTTCCGAAGCAAGAAGGCCTTTGATTTTTCTTACTGTCTGTTTACAGGCATCAAAGGTGCAAATGCATATTGGAGTATTTAAATTTGATAGGCTTTGGTTTCCCATCATTTTTGACAGGCTTTTATATTAGTTATAATATAGTTATTACCCAGGAAAAGCATAATTTTTATAGCCTTCAATTTTATTTGGTTACAGAGCCATAAACTAGAAAATCAGAACCCTCTTGCCATACCCACCTGTCACATCCTCTCTTTCACAAATTTCCAATAGTTTTCCCTGACATTTAATATTATATTATTTGTAACCAACAGAAAGCCAAAGTTTTATTCTTTCAAATGACATATCATATTATATTATTTGCTGTATAGAGAATTGTTTCATTTCACTTCCATTTCAAACTTTATTCCCACAGGAAACACACTGAGGAGATTAGCTGAATTTTTATTGGCTCTCATCGCACAGTTAAAAGGCCAGAAGAATTATGATAATTATACCCAGGTAGGTAGTATATTTTTTGTTTTTCATGTGTATTCCTTATTATAATTACAAAAGTAACTAGATTGCAAAATTTAGAAATTGTTTAGGTTAGATAAGGTAAGATAAAGAATCCTAATAATAAAAATTCTTCAGAGGTATGCTCTTGAGTAGCTTGTGCGTCAGGTAGTTCAATAGGGTAACGTAAGCTACACGTCGCCAAGTGATTTATGATTTGTGTGGCAGGATTATTAGTTAGATACAGTTCAAAAGGCAATAAAACAATAAAATTAAATATAAACAGATGTATAATGTTCCAAACTTTAAGCTATTTAGGATAAACAATCGTAGTTTCCTGTTACAATTTGCAGTCATTCCACAAGATGGTAATTTAGAATTATTTCCTTGTTCTTTTATGGTGGATACGAGGACAGTCAAATCAACAACATGTAAAATACATGAGTCCATTGTGATTGAGTTAATAGCAGCCCTTGAAATGTCTGACAAGCAATACAGAAAATATTTTAGTACATCATATACAATTCTATAAAATGCAAGCTATGTCTTAGGTATGTATTTCTATGGTGCATGACATAACACAAGAACAGGTATGATCCTATCAAGGGTAATACACCACAAGGTTATGGAAAGTACTATTGTACATAACACATCAGAAAGCTAAAGATTAGGGATAACCCTATTGTGAATAACATACTATGAAGTTAAGGAAAGTTCTATTTAGGGTAACATATCACAAGGTCAGAGATAGTCCCATTCATGTAACATACCATAAGATTAGAAATAGACCTTAATTAGGATAACCAAAAATTTAGGAAATGTTTTATTATGGATAATGATACTACCAAGTCAGAAATAGTCCAATTGGGTGCAACAAATTATCAACAGATCACTAACACTCTTGTTCTGAATATCATATTATAAAGTAATGGTGAATCTTCTACTAAGGGTAAAAAACCAGAAGATCAAACACAGTTGTATTGTGGGTAACATTCATGTATTACAAAGTCAGATATAATTCTACTGTGGGTAATATATCAGTCATGGATAGTGCTACTGTGTAATATACAACAAAGTCATGAATAATCCTACTATGTGTATTATACCACAAAGTAAAGGATAGTCTGCTACTAAGGATAAAAAGATCACGAGGCCAGATATTCTTGTACTGTGGATAATACAAGTACCAAAAATACAGAAATAATTCTACTGTGGGTAATATACAACAAGGTCAGGAACAATTCTATGGTTAATATACCACAAAGACATGGATAATGCTACTGTTAGTATAACCAAAAAGTCTAGAATAGTTCTATCTTAAGTAACATACTACAAGTTCAAGGATAGTTTTATTGTGGATAATATACAACAAAATCAAAGAGTGTTGTTCTGAGGGTCATACATTAAAGTCATAGCTGTAAGTCCCAGTACATAACACACCATTGATAAGTAGTTTGTTAGTAGTTCATGAATGTACTCTCAGTATGGTATAACTATTACATGTTCTTTATCATTTTTCAGCATAATTTACTATCACACCTCATTTCAAGTTTTGAAAATTCTACAAACACAATGTATTTTCATTAACCACAGGGTAACTTTAGAAATTGACCTACTGGTTTCTCATATTTTTCAGGAGCCAAAACTCTGGTCATAAAAATCTCAAATCTTCATTATTAATGGCAGTTATTTACTTAAGTTATCATTTTAATACCATATTTCTTTGAAGCTAATTAAGATTAGAATTTGTTTTCAGCACTTCTTAATATAAAGCTGTAAAGTAGCTTACACTAACCTTTAACCTTGTTTTCAGGTCCTCTTAGGTTAGTGTCATTACTAGATGAGTAATATTGAGCACAGCGTGCTGCATATTTGAGGAATGTTTCAGCAGTGCGACGAGCATGAGTACATGCACGAAGAAATCCTTCTTTCTGTTCCTGGTGTTTTGTCAGGTACTGACAAACAAGAGCAACTCTGTCATGACTGTCTTTGTCACCCTCTTCACTGCCAGGTGTCCCACTACCTCCTCCACACCAATCCTCATCTCTTCTATATTCCCGGTCCAGGCTATCTAGCACAGAACAAACCTAAAACACAAACACACTGTTAAATACTATGGGAACATATATTCGAAAACCTACTGATATTTAGAAAAATATAAAATAACTTCAGATCACTGGAGAGCAAAACCTTAGAAGCAATAATTAAACTTATTATTATATAATAATGCACCAATAACAGAAACTAAAAACAACTATTGACCTTATTATTGTGTAACATTACATAATAGCATATCCACAGCTAAGATAATTTAAACAAAATAAACTTTTTCTTTAACATAGAACATAATATATTAAGTGCATAATAGAAGTCCTAACACATGGATCATTTTTACTGTTTTGTGGCAATACACAAGTTCACATAAATAATTCAAGAAACCTAAGCACAAAAATCAGTTTTATACAAAAGAACACATCCGTAAGTATTAAACAGATGTAGCAGAACTAAGACAACTGACATATATATAAAGTACACCACTACCTTAATCAGACACTGTTAGTGTTAAAACAAACAATTTGTTTTTCAGTATTTCAACTTCTTCTTACAGCAACAACATTAAACTTCACTCTAACTAATTCCACTTCTTTGCATGATATAGTATAATCCACATATGAGTGTTTACTGTATAAAATACGTAATTAAAATAATAGAACACAATTATTTTAAACATTTCATAATGCATACACACCTGTTCTACAGTTTTATAGAAACTTATAGATGTTACTGCAAGCTTATGCCTATCTTCAGCATGGCTCATGAGCATATGCCAACGTTTTCCAACCTGGTCCGAGATTTCTCGAATGGTCCGAGGTTCATAGTGGTTAGACTGGATCAACATCTCTGCACGCTGCTGCACCTGGACTGCACTGCTGTGAGTTTTCTGTTTATTAATAAAAGAAAAAGTAAGATACATCAAGAATGTGAATACAAAACTATTTTTATATAATCCATTTTAACCCCTATTGCAAATTTTATGAAAATACGATGGAAAAAATGTTTACTTTGAATGTCTTACATAAATAGGTCTATACTGTTCAAAAAAAGTTTTTGTGAAATCTATTTTGGTAGGTTATAAAAAGACATTACCTAGAAGTAACATTATTCAATTGAGGAACCAACAAAAATAATTCCATGGTTTATTTACACTGGAAGTAAAAGCATTTAACTACAGAACTGAAGTATTTGAAGGTATAATAAGAAACAAAGACAAAGGCTTAATTTCAATCATCTACACTATTAATATGCCCCCCCCCCCCCAAAAAAAAAGAGCTTGCACTTAACAAAAAGATTTGTCAAACAAGAAGTTACTGATTCAAAGTGTTTTGTTTATTTTTCTAATTTCAAAAAATTTAAAACTTACACAGTCAAATTTTAGGAAAAGAAAAAAAAAAAACTAGATTTTTCAAGATAATACATTCAAGAAGGTAATATTTCTTTCCAAAATTATTTTATGATCATACAAACAATGACTGTCATACAAACCAATACTATTTTTCAAGTTTATAAAGTCTAATGGAAAATACACTCCAACCCATCAGACCATTATCTACGACAAACTGCAATAATTACCTTGAAGTACCTGATAAGTCACTATATGATAATTACCTAAAACAGATATTTTCTGGGCATAAAATAATAATTACATGAACATACACAATCAGTTTATATAACAGTAATAACATAAAAATATCAACTGTCAAGTCATAAAACCAGTGAAGTGCAGTAAGCAATACGAAGGAAGAAGTAATGATACACAGGGGGTGGAGGTGGGGTATATGGCATGGGTCAGGCATGTGCAAACAAGTAGAACCAAAACTACATCTATTGTGAGCAGTTATTAAAAATAAATAAAATTGAAGTTCAATCATAATAATTAATTAAATGCATCTTTTATAATTGTTGTAAGTAATAAACAAATTAAAGTAACATAAAACAAGAAACTCGCATCCATAAATAAAACTGTAATTCACTTAAAGCATGTTGAAGATACATTAAAAAGATCAGACCATGCTTTCTACAAATGCTTGGTTTGTAACTGAACAGTTAAGGTTCTTATTCATTGCCTAGCCTAATGATGACCCATTTCTATGGCAACCACAAAGCAGACAATAATTGCTGCTTCACCCATGTCTCATTTTCAACATTCACCAAAAGTTGGTAATTGAGAGGAAGTTTTGATGTTGATTCTCTGTGTACTGCCAAAGATTTATTTTTTTACACTATAAGAGATACATTTAAACATATGCATCTCTTATAGAGTAAAAAAACATTTTTATTTTAAACTAGCTGGAGTACCCATCCTCTGGATGGAAGTTATGTAAATTCATGGTAAATGAAAGGTTATCTTAGGACATGAAAAGTTGCTTCCCTTATATGTAATTGTAAAAAATGCAAAAATGCTTATAAAAACTGAAAACACAAACTGTGAAACCACAAGTTTGCATGTATATCTGCATGGACCCAACAAACCTTCTTGCCAAATTTGATGAAGATTAATCAACAGGGGGCAAAGCAGTGGTAAAAAATGCAAAAACACCCATAAAACTGCAAAACCAAAAATTTGTATGTACCCCTGTATGGACCTAATGAGCCTCCTTACCAATTCTGGTGACGATCCATAAACAGGGGCAAAGTAGACTTATACACCACATCAATTTATCTATGGATCAGTCATAAAAAAGTGTTGTTTCATGTATGTAATAAAAGAAATAAAAGAATTTCAAATAATTATAATTTTATTTGATATTCTTATTTTTTTGGCTAACTTTTGCTATCTTCAAATTTCTGCACATTTACCACATTATTTCTTCTGCTGGCATACAGTATACTACACAGTGGTACTGTACTTAATCTATCCTTGTCTTACAGTCCATATACAGTTGACTTATATACGAATGAAGGTTGAAAAAAATGAGAAATTTAACCCATTCGACTTCTATGCCAAAAAATACGATATCTAAACACATATTGTCAAGTCATAAAGCAATAAGTATCTAACAACTTAAATTATCTACTGTCAATAAGTCTCTAAGACACGTATGATTAAGTTGCAATACAATTATTATCTAAAATCTTGTTTTTTTGTTAAAATACAGTAATTATCTAAAACACATTCTCAATCACATTAGAATAACTACTTAAAACAATAAAACAAGCTTATCTATAAATATATATGGTCAAGTCATTTATGTATATAATTAACCAAATGTCTGTCTGTCATG